AGTGCCTTCCAATTGAGTTTGATACTAAACTTAGATCAAGAGTGAAAAAATAGCCATAGGACAATCACAGGCAAAATTCTCTATTCCTCCTCCACCCTGGAATACTGAGATGTCACCTGGGCAAAGGACACATTTTAAGGCAAGATATGTTAACACAGCTTCAAAAAAAACCTGTGGCCTATAATTTCTTTTGGCATCCTCAACAAAATCACTCCTTTTCAAAGACCCTTGAGAAGACTTCATCTATATTCATAGATTTAAGTTATATCAGGTACTTCTGATACATAGCATAAACCTTTTATTCTACAGAGTTTATATTAGTAAAGTGGTCCTTGAAAAAATAAAACAAAAAGCTCACACTGCCTCCTACTGTTAGAAGGAAAAGTTCATGAGGTCAAAATGGTACACAAACTAATAAGAGCAACGGGTTTTTGTCTTAGTTTTTTTTTCTTTTCTTTTGAAATCCAATGATGTATTTCCAAATCAAAACTTCGAAAGGGTTGAGATGCTGTCTACAACCCATACAAATGTACTGCAGAAAACACTAGGTATGACTTCAGAATGGAAACTACTATCTTCTCCAAGTCTTTTTAATTTGACATGTGACCTCATTTAAACAAAACAAATTATAAAGTGCTACCCTGCCTAGCAGTTGATTTCCCCCTTCCTTACCTACTGTAAGATAAACTGTTCCATGTCAGTAGAACAGATGCAATATCCTGCTCAACTTGTTAAGATTGTAGGGCGATACCTCAGGGCTTCCTAGACCTCGATGACTTTTCCCATGTCTAAAGAGTTGGGAGTACTGTCACCCAACATGCCACTGAGCTACTTTAGTCTTCAAAATTTGATAAACAACTCTTGGGGCATCATGTACCACCTGCCCCTGTCCACCTCAGCCATGATATTGAATTAAATCACTGAATATGAAACACAAAAACACAAACAATAGTTTTGAGTTTGTTTCTTTAAAAATGGCATTTGTATTAAAAGTCTTAAAATGAAGAGACAATGATTAAACACGTGTCTGAAATTAAAAATTACAATTAGAATTCTCTTGGTACATCACAACAGTAAAATTTTGCTCTTTGCTTCTGGAGGAACACCCTATAACAGATAACCAAAAAAAAATTTAATATAAAAGGGGAGCTAAATACCTGAACATTTGAACAAAATGAAAAAAAAAAAAAAAAGGAAGAAAACATTGATTGCAAGGTATGGAAATTACTTTTTAACCACTGGAAATAATAAAGAAGAAATTTACCAAACAACAGGCCCTATTGTCCTGGCTTCTTCAGGAAGATTACTGAAAGGAAACTGGGAAGTGGTTTGGGGAATAGCAGAGTCTGGGGTGG